GCCATGTCTTTGTTGCCTAGAATGGCTTTTGCTATTCTAGGTCTCTTCTGGTTCCAAATGAATTTTTGAATTGTTTTCTCTAGTTCTGTGCAGTATGTTGTTGGAATTTCAGCTGGCATTGCATTAAATCTATATGGCAGTTTTGGAAGTATGGTCATTTTTACTATATTGGTTCTTCCTACCCAGGAACATAGGATGTCTTTCCATTTTCTGACATCCTCTTTGATCTCTTTTTTCGGAGAGCTGTAGTTTTCAGTGTAGAGGTCTTTTGCTTCCTTTGTTAGGTTGATTCCTAGATATTTCATTTTTTTTGGATGCTACTGTAAAAGGAATTGTTTCCCTAATTTCTCTCTCAGTGAGTCTGTTAATTGTGTATAAGAAGACTATTGTTTTTTGAGTATTGACCTTGTATCCAGCTACTCTATTGAGTCTGTCAATTAAGTCTAGAATACTTTTGGCTGAGTTTTTTGGGTCTTCTATGTAAAGTATCATATTGTCAGCAAATAATGACAGTTTCACTTCTTCCTTTCCTATCTTTATTCATTTATTTCTTTCTCTTTTGTAATTGCTGTGGCTAATGTTTCCAGAACTATATTGAACAGAAGTGGTGATAGTGGGCATCTTTGTCTTGTTCCTGAGTTTAGCATGGAAGTTTTCAGTTTTTGACCATTTAGTATGATGTTGGTTGTTGGTTTTTCATAGCCTTAATCAGTTTGAGATAAAGATCTTCTATTTTAATTTTCTGTAGAGTTTCTATCATGAATGTGTGTTGGATTTTGTTGAATGTTTTTTCTGCATCTATTGAGATGATCATATTGTTTTTGTCCTTGACTTGGTTGATATAGTGTACTACATTTATTATTTTCCATATGTCGAAGCACCCTTGCATCCCTGGGATAAATCTGACTTGGTCAGGGTGTATGATCTTCCTGATGACCCTCTGTAATCTGTTTGCCAGTATCTTTTTGAGGATTTTTGTATCTATGTTTATTAGGGAGATTGGCCTATAGTTCTCTTTTTGGGTTGGGTTTTCCATGGTTTTGGAATCAAGGTAACACTTGCTTCCAGGAATGAATTTGGAAGTATTGCTTCCCTTTCAATTTCATTGATGATTTTAAAGAATAACAGTGGTAGTTCTTCTTTAAATGTCTTGTAGAATTCCACAGTGAAGCCATTAGGACCTGGGCTTTTCTTTGTTGGCAAATTTTTTATTACATTTTCAATTTCACTCATTGTAATTGGGGTGTTTAGAATTTCTATATCTTCTTCATTTAACTTTGACATTTCATAAGTATCTAGGAATCTGTTCATTTCTTCTGTGTTTCCCCTTTTATTAGAGTACAGGTTCTTGAAGTAGGTATTGATGATCCTCTCTATTTCTGCTGGATGTTTTGTGATTTCACCTCTTTTGTTCTTAATTGCATGGATTTGAGCCTTTTCTTCCCTTTTTTTGATAAGGTTGGCTAAAGGTTTATTGATTTTATTTATTCTTTCAAAAAACCAACTCTTTGATTCATTGATATTTTTGTATTGTTCTCTTAGTCTCCATTGCATTGATTTCTGCTCTGATCTTTATAATTTCCTTTCTTATAAGAGCTTTGGGTTTGTTATGCTCTTCTTTTTCTAGGAGCTTGAGGTTCAGCATTAGGTTATTTATCTGAGTTCTCTCTGTTTTCCTAATATGGCCATTCACTCCTATGAATTTCCCGCATAGAACTGCTTTCATTGTGTCCCATAGATTCCTGTATGTTGTACTGGCATTATCATTTACTTGTAGAA